GAAATATTCCCCCCTCCCTAAGCTTGGATTTAAAACTCAAGGTGGTGGTTAGTTTTGGTTAATGCTTATTGAGCGTTTCTTTTGACCCTGGTACTACACTAAGCAATTCATGTGTGTTTCCTCACTGAAGTCTCTCGACAACCCCATGCAGTAGATACTATTACTATCCTTTTTTCACAGATGAAGAAAAAGGTGTAAGGAACTTGTCCCAGGTCACATGAGCAGTAGCAAGCAAGTAGTAGAGCTCCAATTAAGTGCCAAGTGTGCCTGACTCCAAAGCTCAAATTATTAACTCCTACGCTACTGTGCCTTTCAAGGTTTCTTAACTTGAGTGCAAAATTAAAATTATCCAGAGTCTGATGTTTTCTCAATAAACAGGTTGCATCATTTGTTGCATGGTGGGACTTGTGTTCTTATCACTTCCTGAGCTAGCATTGGTAGCAGACATACTCCTTCGTTGCAAGAATAAGTGGCATTCTGGAGAACCATAGAGGTGCCTTTAGGTAACGGCACTCAGCAGGCTGATGGGTACAGCTCTAAATTCTTATTAGCGCTGCTTCTCTAAGAATGAGCCTTCTAGGTGGCTGGAAACTCACAGCACCGCTGCCTATCTCTTCCTTATCAACAGCCCATTCAAAGTGGGGTTGGCCACGACTTAGTTTCTGCCTTTTTTCACATCTCATGCCTCTATCATAAAAAAAAAAAAAAAAGAATGGGAACCACCTCAAATCAAGAGTCTCTTAAATCTAATGTATCCTGAAAAATGTCAAAATGTATGCATAATTTGGGGGTAAAAAAAGTACGTTTGTATAGCCAAAGTGTTACAAATACACATAGTATACAAATTCACCAATGAAGAACTGACTTTGAACACAGGATTCCTCAGCTATTTGGAGAAGGGATTTTCTTTTGTAAAGTCTTCACATTATTGTATGCTCTGCATGTTTGGAGCTGGGCTAATGATGAGAAGTCTCCATCTTTTGATGATGTATTCAAAATCTAGGAGCCTCCAGATTTTTCTATGGGGAAAAGAGCTTCCTCACCTTTTAAATGAGAATTTGGTGCTTTGGACGAGATGTTCATTCTCTTCCCTGAAGGGAACACTATCTCTTGTCAAGTGGAACTAAAAAATTAAAACAAAAACAGCTGCTTTTCAATTTCTAAAAAAATAATGGTTTGTTAATTTCTGGGTCAAATACCAGTGTAGAAAGGATTTTTAGTGTCATAATCTCTGAATTTATGAATTTTAGCATGATAAGTTTTGTACCAATAAAAGGTGAACTTAAAATTTTTTTCATTTATTTAGAACAAAAGTGTTAAAAATTATTAAATTAGTACAATGTGGGGGTGAAGAATATAAGCTCTAGAGTTTGATGCCTAAATCCCATCTCGAGTATATCATTTACAGATTGTGTGATCTTGGGTAAATTAACTTAAAATCTCTGGGCTTCAGGTTCTTCACTTATAAAATAGTACTTATTTATGGGGCTGTTGTGAGGATGAAATGAGATAATGCCTATAAAGTACTCAGTACAGGGCTTGACAGAGTCAGAGCTCAATAAACAAAAGCTATAGAAACCTCGTAATTTACTGTAAAGTATAAAACGCAGCCTAAATTTCTATCAATTAACTTAGATTTTATATATGCGAGACATTTAATATATACTTAATTTATATATGTATTTTATATATTTTTAAAAATTTATGTATTTATAACTTTTTTTCAGAGTCAAAACATTTTTCAATAGTGCATGTCCTTGGTACTATCTAGCTACTCTTATCCTTTCTTAAAGTCAGGAACCGGACCCCAGGCAAGGTATCTCAGACACAGCCTACTCCTGTGCTTCCTTGGCCACTGGCTTTCTAGTTCCATTGACTGTGCTCCCGGGGCAGTGACACAATCCTTGTTATCTGCCTTGTCTAGGAGAATGACTGGGCAATCTGCTGATACCAGGTTTTTCTTTCAGTTGTGAATAACAAAGAAATGCAGTTAGCAAGGAACACTTTAGCCCTGTCAAGTGAGTTCCAAAAGGCCTGGCTCACTTATTTTCACTGCTTTGCTTGCTGTCCTTTGTTAAATTTTTGGAAGTTTCACGGTTTGAAGTATTACTACTAATAATACTAATGATAATAACAGTAGTTAACACTTATTGAGTGCTTACTATGTACCAGGCACTGTTATAAGCTCTTTACACATATTGACTCATTTAATCCTTACTATACTATTATTCCCATTTTACAGTAGTGAAAACAGGCCCAGATGATTAGGGAACTTGTCCAAGGCCACACGGCTTCAAAACTTTCATCAGTCTAGATCTTCTTACTTCTATATTATTGATCAAAATTATACTCATACTTAGAGAATACTTTAAGTGATCCATTTCCTCAAGTTCTCAGTGTAGGAGTATTTTCCTGGAGGGGTGAATGTTTAATGAGCTCACTGAATTTGGAGGCTCATCTGGTATAAAGTGGGACTCTCAGATCAAGGGTGCTTTAGCATGATTGTTATGGATGCTCAGAGATTATTAAAAGGCAAGATTATGTTTTACAAGGCTAAGAAAATAAATGGGATTAGAAATTAGAATGTTTTACTAACGAATAATGTAGCTTTTTTTGA